TAACGGGACCAGCTCATGATATTCGCCGATTTTGATCAATTCAATTTGTCGATAGGGACATATAGTTTGTTTTAATACCCATTCTAATTGCACAATTTACTGACAGGTAACGATGTTCCCCATTAAATATGACAGGCAATTAATATGCTGTCATTAGTGTAAAACAGTCCCCATAATGAATGAGAGTGTCATAAGCCCTAATAAATTCTAATATGTATAGAACAAAAATTTTAAAATATTTTAAGTTTTAGGGGTTTATTAAGAGTTTTTAAAATCAATAAAAAGGGAAAATAATGCACTTATTGGATTTATAAAACAATTTGGAAAACCTGTAAATGTTAATATACAAAAATAATTTTTTGTGCTATTCATATTAGGATTAAATTGCACATATGATAGGCATAAAACATTTTCAAATATTTTATTTTATTTTCCAAACACATGGGACTCTATGGCAGAATTGACCATTTTCAAAGTTAAACTGTAAGCAGGCATGCGATATATTTTTAATTATTTTTTGATATTATTGAAATATAGTATCNACATGGGACTCTATGGCAGAATTGACCATTTTCAAAGTTAACTGTAAGCAGGCATGCGATATATTTTTAATTATTTTTTGATATTATTGAAATATAATATCCCCTCTACCATACCCTTACTCCATATAATTTTAGCATTAGCAATCATTGTGCTGACTATGGGTCCAGCAAATCATCCAATTTGACAGAATATTCTTGTTTTTTCATAGCTACCTTATAATGAACTTTAAGTGTGCCAGAGTATAAATTTATGCTACACTTAATAAGTGAGCTATTAAACAAACCCCCATCCCATTATTTATTGATCCTGTTTATAGTTACAACTAGTGATGTATAAACTATGTAAACTAAATTAGTGTTTCAACACTAGTTATTTTTGCGATAATAAACAGTCATAAATAACTTATAAGTAATAATAAGTAATATTATATGTAATAAATTTATGAATGATTGTTCAAATAAATCCTATATACCATATTTATCAATCATTAATTCACTCATATAAAATTATCACTTAATAAAGTTTATAATATAAATGAATATTAAGTTTATAATATATATAAATAAATAATTCTGCGAAATATTTATAAATTTATTATGTTAATACATTATTATTTTTAGATGTTTTAAACTTAATTTACTATACAATAGAACAGGGCTGTTTGTTTACATGTTCACACTATAAGCAGGGTATTGAATGAATGCTATAGTGAGTTGTGATTTGTGGGCAACTCATTGCACATAACTTTTGATTCATATAAAACACTCGTTACTGTTTCCACATGAAACCAACCCTTTCAGTGAACAGCTTATGTATGCTATATAGCGCACCCTTCATTTCTCAACTCCCACTCTCAATACAGTAACAGTTATGCGATAGTGTATAGCAATACACATGTAGTGCATTGAATACACAACACATTATACGTTTTGTATAGAAAAATTCAATGTAAACACTTTCGCTCTTTATTCACTCATTTATACACAACTGCAACACAACCTTACAGTAACAGCGCACAAAACCTACGCAAAGTACTGTATCCTAATGTTAGGGACAGGGATGAGGGATATATGCATAGAGAGAGTGACTCACGGACTCACTCTCTCTAGCACTACCACACACTCCATCACTCTATAGTAAACAGCTGCCGGTGCGACCATAGCAACCATTATCCCTACATTCTGAGTGCTAACACATATGACTGAACCATTGGGTGGACAGTTGGCTTTTTCTTTGTGTATATAATATAATAGTAACTGACAATAATAATAACTTATATAGATGTATAAATCTTATTGTGCAATTAAATATAAGTCTGACTATTACCTTGGTTACTAAAAAATATATTAATATACTTTGATAAGATCATATTGATAATATAAAATTAGCATCATAATTTTTGCCATATCATAGAGTATATTAGTATCATAATATACTCACCCTGATAATGCTGGCAACTTACTACTCCATTTGATATTATATAACAAAACATTGTATTAATTACACATATAATTTTGTGTGAATCCATGTTGTGTCTCATCCACCTGGCTCATTAAAATAAAAAACTATTGTGTAAGTATGATGTGTAATATTTAAATAAATGAATCATATGTATACCTTGATGTTTAATTATTTTGCATGATTGTCCTAAGAATATTTTATGAAGATACTGGTAGAAATCTAATTTTCATTATGATTAATACAATGAATAATTATTAGACATTGTTACTAGTTATATAAATATATACTCGGCTTAAATAGAAATTAATAATAAAGGCAAGACTCACTATTTAGTAAAAGTGTTTGTCTATGAATAGTGGACTCACTATTTTGTAAAAGTGTCTGTCTATGAATAGCGGGCTCATTATTCTGTAAATGTGTTATATTCAATGAATAGTGGAATCACAAACTATAATTATGACTTTATAATAATTATACTATCATTCTGAACCACGTATCTAAAATTACATAAACTAATAGATAAAATATATTACTATACATCAAACACCCCCATTAAATAACTAGTACCTTTCTTAGATATTCGAATATACTTGAGAATATATTACCGGTCATGAATATATAATTATTCTAACAGTAATATTAATAAAACTAATTTCTCTTGCGGATATAATTTTATACATCCCTACTGCCCTCTGGTGTTTTAACACTGGTGTGCCCCATAAATAACAAAAATAAAGTACGTTCAAAACAAGACGTCAAATGCTATAAATGTGTTGAAAGTTAAATCGTAATAAAAAATGTATATTACTTAACTTATTGGTAATACGATTATTATATATAAATTTAATTGTAATGTAGTGTTTAATATTTTATAAACTTTATTTGAATAAGTATTATCGGTGTTTGATTACAGATTAAATAACATTGAAAGTACAGTATAAGCCATTATCGCATATTGTATTTTATATAGTATTATATTTAAAATGACTATGATGAATATGGATTATAATCCGGGCCACATTAGTAGTTATAAAACTGAGCATTATTACATTAGCCAGTATTGAGATTAATGTTAAAATATTAAGTATATCACATAATTATTTTTATAACTAGATTTTAAAATTTATTACGTTGATAATGTATAATAAAAATTATTAACAATTATCATGACATAATCACTAATAAACTGAATGCGCAGTTTATTACAAATGAAATATCTATACATATAAATGGGTGTTTACGGTATAAATATCATTGAATATAAATACAACATATTAACAAAATTTGCCCTTATTGTGTATTTTTAAAATTCAATATTATAATGAATATAGTAAAAATTATTATACAATTGATACATAATAGGTTTCGATATGTTTTAAATGTAGTAATGTTTTTAATGTCTATGTATTCATTAATAATTGTAAAACATTATTAACTTTAATAAAATATTTTACGCATTCGTGACAGTAATTCAAGAAATTTAACTTTAAAATGGAGTCAGTTTTAAATAATTTTATTATCAGCAAAAAAATCGACGAAAACATGAGACGAGTAATAAAACTATTTTACGTTTTCGACGACATTAGAGGCCATAACATACTGTTTGTGACGGCCGACGACGAGGTCTACGGAGTGGGCAGTAATAGTGAGGGTCAGCTCGGCTTAGAGCATCAAACACCGCTCGAGACGCCTCAAGAATTACGTGAATTACGGGGTCAGAGTGTCCGACAGTTTTTCAACGGAAAGCATTTCGCGTTGGCCGTCACAGCTGACAACCAAGTCTACCAATTGTGCTCCAATAACATTGCCCTAAAGTGGGTCACTAAAATATTTGTGGATATACCTAACGTCAAGATTAAACAGATATCCTGCGGACTATATAACACGTACATGCTAACAGATTGTGGCCGGGTATTCGAGCATAATATTTGGGCACAACGTGATACCGTGATAGCCGATTGCGACTCGTCCGAGGTGACTTTTCCCAGTGGTCACGTGATCGCGAAAATTTTATGTTATGAAATTCCGGTATTTGCCATTACCACAAATGGACAAGTGTTTAAGTGGGGATTAGAAAAGTTACATTTACTAAAGAATGTAACCAACATTGTCGATGTTTGCTTTAATTGCCAAAATTTTTTTATAACATATTTATTGACAAAGTCTGGGGACATATATATTAGCACTTTCAAATCTGAAGAGTACTTCAAATTACACGCGCCACATGGTGTAGCTTTTACAAAAATGGCACAACTACATACTTATCAAAAAAAGTTTCCAATAATGACGTGCTACGCCAATAATAAGGTGTACGAGATTGTTCAGCAAAATAGATTATCACCGATTTTTGACATCAAGGAAACTATTTATAAAACATTCGATGATTTTTATGTTAATAAATTGCAATTAACATTAAATACAGTCGATTTGGACAATGAATACTATTTGAAAGTTGATAATTATAAAGGTAACACCTGTTTATCTAATTTATATTCATATAAAGTGGATTGTGAATAAGATTATAAGTATATAAAATTTATAAATTTAAAAAAAATATATGTGGATGATTTTCTTTATAATTTAATATTAAAAATATATTCTGAACATCTTTTATAATCTATATTTCTAGATTATTAAATATGTAAAACATTAGTTTTAACTAAAACTTTAACGGTCTTGGGTCATTTGACCTTCGATTCCTTTGACCTACAAATATTCAAAATTGCACTTTTACCCTCATGCAACTCAGGAACAAAAAATTTCATAAAGTACGTCTAAATATTTGTTATTTATTTGCGAATTTATTTTTAAACGTTATTTTTGAATTCCTTACATAACCTAACCTTACCTAAAATTGTTTTCATTCTTAAATAACGTCTTTATAGGCTAAAAGGCTCGTAGATCAAATGACCGAATAACAACTTTCACAGATAGTTAATTGGCATCAAACAAGCATTATTAAATATATAATTTATTATATTTATTAAAATATGTTATTTCATATTTACTAGAATATAATCACTTGGAAACTTTATTCAACACCAAAACAATGCGCTCAATTGGAAAAGGTAGCTTCGGTGAAGTATTTAAAGTGCAAAAGAATTACAATATTAAAAAATACGCCATTAAGATAAGCGATTTATCAGGTAATATTTTATGATTTTTGTTTTATTAAAATACTAGAATAATTTATCTAGGCAGAAATATATCGGAAACGGACAAACAAAACATGTTAGACGAGACAAAAAAGTTGATAAGAGAGCGCTCCAAATATGTGGTCGAGTATTTCAATTCATGGATCCAGAACAATTGTTTATACATTCAAATGGAGTTGTGTCATGCTAATTTGAAAGGTCTATTGAAAATTAAACGAAATATATCCAACGGGCTACCGGGTGTCGCGTCGCAAATGCTCGACCTTTACCTATCAATAGAAATATTTCTCGAAATCACAGAATGTGTGCAATATTTGCATCGAGATCGTATCATTCATAGAGACCTCAAACCAGATAATGTGTTGGTCGGTTCGGAAGAGATGTTTTCGGACAAACATTGCTTAAAGTTATGTGACTTCGGTTTGGCTAAAATCGCGGTAAATATCGATTTATTCAATATGACCGGGGATGTCGGAGACGCCCAATATATGGCACCCGAGGCTATGGCCAATGTGTACGACCATCGGATAGACATCTATAGTCTGGCAATCATTGGGGCAGAAATTTTTGGTTTTGATAAAAAGGAGATAATTTTGGGAAAGTATGGCTTGATTTAATATTTAATAGTGTAATTTTGTCACAATTTGACACATCTGACTAATGATCATAATTTAACACATATATTTAAATTTAAACTATATCTAAAGCGCATTAATGTTGAATGTATACGATTTTAATAGTGATAAAAATAATATGCTTAGTCCAAAGGATTTTGGTTTTTAGATTTTGATTTATATTTGATTTAATAATAACGAATAGATCATGAATTTTAAAATCAAAATTTTAGTGTTTAAATAAATTCATCGACCACATAATATTAAATTCGTTGTTATAACCGTATGCACTCAACATTAATTTGTACGTTATTAATAATAAATATTTATTAAATTTGAATCAAAAAGTGACAAGCAGATTACGAACCAAGAAAAGAATTTGCAAATATTGTCGGAAGAAATTCAAAACCTATTTGTTTTAATGAGTATTAATGAGTACCGACGAAATGGTTCAACCGATTGGAGGGAGAGACCCGAATGCGTCGACATTTTGTCTCAATTACGACTCATACGCAATAAGCTGTTTGATGAAAATGGTTCACTATTTTTATGGCCACAAGTTTTCGATGCGTCAATAGAGTACGAACAGATTGGCCACGAGTTGTCACTTTGTTCACCAACTGAACATAATATTAAATATAGTTTATTGGAAAATATTTTAAAAACTAACAGTCAGTATTTATATGCAAGATTTTTTAACATTAAACCATTTATTAGTATAAGAACATCATTTTTAAGTCGCCCAAAAGGTATACAAAATATTGAACAACAGTTTCATGTTTAATTAATATTAATAATATTTAGAGATGATCCCAATTGAATCAAGTTTATTTGGGGGTATATCTACTGGAAAACTTTTTAATATCCAAAGTCCAACAAACGATAAATTGAAACTAAATCTAGCAATAAATATTCCTGGTAATTCTCAAAAAATTCAATTTGTTAAAACGTTATGATTATTTATACAAATTTATTTATACAAAATTTCTAGATAATTATTGGCACTTTAAATATATATATAATCAACATAAGAACTCAATGAATTTAAATTCAAAGTATTTGGTCAAAGCCTATAACTCGTGGATCGAACGCAACGTTGTTTACATTCAAACGGAAATGTATTCGCAAACTCTGGGGGATATTATACGTCTAAAACGTACTTTATTTGAGAACCAAAACTCATTGGCAATGATTTGCATTGATTTCTACATATCCTGTGAATTGTTGCGAGAATTCTTAGAATGCGTTCACTATTTACACGATCCCTATAACAACCAGACCAATGGGGAACAGGAGTTCATACACACACAACTTCTAGCACATAATATATGGATTTCGAATAAAGGTACCATGGGAAATTTCCTTAAAATTGGAATTGACATCGGATCTAATTATTCAAAAAATTATTACTGCAAACATAATTCATTGAATCTAAAAGATATTATTTATATGGGAAATACATTTAATAATATGTTCGAGTTAATTATTAATAGGTGCGTGTGAATAATTTTTTTTATATATTAATAATTACATATTATATGTTATAATGAATATTTAATTTTAAACAAGAACATTATTTTCCAGCCATCATCTACAATGTAGATTCTATATAATCACAGCATTTTACAGATTCGGACCTAGCTTACAATTAGTGTTGTACCAAATAATTATTTTACAAACTTGTGAAAACAAACAAGCTACATAAATTATAAAATATCAATGAAAAATATATTAGAAATTATTTCAAGAGTTTAGTTTGATAATCAATGCTATTATTGTCAGTAAGTACAACACTAACTGCAATCTGGTCACATTCTGCAACCAAAAGCCATTCTATATAAAACTATATTATTTAATATTTAATATAGAAAACAAAGGACCCGTTATTTGGGGGTAAATATCTATCAAATTGAGGGAATTATAAACTTTATGCAAAGATATGGTCAGACGGATGGCAAGGATATGGTGGCAACGGATGTGTTAAATAAGATCACTTCAATATTCGCACATAATCTGTGTATCGATACACAAATGATGTCGTCCTTCCGAAAGCATGTCATTTCTATGGGCGAAGATTATGTCTTTATTTATGACTACCTGGTTACGCGACATAAACTTAACAGAATGTAAATGTATATGATCAAATATAATTAACACAAAACTGATGGACTTTTATTTTGAATGTTCATTGCTTAATCATTTAAGTCTTACACTTTGTCAGCGCAAAAAATATGAACACTTAATTTAGAATGACATGGATGAGTTTGAAAATTGAAAACAATGCAATTAATGTTTAATGGATACAAATGATATAATAAAAATATAAACTATGAGTAAATAAAAATTAATTTGTTATATAATCTTAAAAAATATTACAGTATATTTAATCTACTTATTATTATTGATATTCTGTGTGATTACCGCAATTAAATGCTATTATATTGGGAGCAGATGTGGATATCCAGGTCTATCACATGACAGCGAAATAGATCTCCAGAAGAATGTCTACGAAGACGGCGATGAAGTGAGGTATAGCTGTCCTTACGATAAGATCTATGTCAAGACACAGACCAAGAAATGTGTGGCCGGTGTGTGGTTAGGCCCGCGATCCACGTGCGGCTACTTTATTAAGAAGCAGTTAATGAACGTTAAAGTTATTAATCTGGGAAACAATAAGACCATTGTTGACATGATTACCAGTAATTACTCAGACAGTGAATACCCGGCCTGTTATTACGATGGAAACGCTATGGCAGTGATAGTGCCCAACGCACAGGTGGCCCACGACTGGCACTTTGAGTTCTCCAGTCATATGGTCTTTGATTTTTTCCGATTGAATCTCAAATTCCCTAAACTGGGTCTAGAGGCCAGGGGTACCGGCAATAAGATCGACTCAATGAGGGTCAAGAATATCCGTATAGAAGGCGAGGAGGACAGGGCCTGTGCTCTAGATTTCAGTACTCGTGACAAATGGACCAAAATATTCTGGTTCTGGTGTACGGAAAGTGTGGCTAAATTCCGGGACAGAACTCTTAAAATTAAGTTCACAACATATTCGACACAAACAATTAAGTCGATCGGATTGCACCAGGTCGCTATCACGCAACTGCAATACTGTGGTTACCCAACTGTCCCTCTTATGGCTAAATACTGTATGTGTCACAGGATGACCAGATTGTATGCGATCCCGAAGTCTCCCATGATATCAACTCTTCCGCCAACTCTTTGGATCTGATTGTATCTGAAGACGAGATTCAAAATGACTGTTTGGACGACGAGTATTGGGCCGGTAGTCCTAAATGTGTGCCCAAACTATACTGTAAAGTAGAGTTCAATGAAGTGTCCGAAGAGATAGTGTCTGTGAAAAACGCGTATATCTTTGACACAAACAAATGGTATGCCATCGAAGGGACGTCCGTTAGTTTTAAGTGCAAACCTGGCTTCGGGTTCGTCACCGACTCGTTTCGCACATGTCTTCACAACTCAACGTGGGATCAAACAGCACCCGTATGTCGAGAAAATAGAAATGCCGATATTGGTGAGGAATACCCGGCATAAATAATAGTGGAATGCCTTTTTTGAGATCCAAAAAAACGGTTAAACACTTTTGCCGATTATTTAATGAGTTTATGAAATTGTGTTAAACGTATTCAAGCAAATGTTTCTTTCATATTATTGGGTCACATATAATGGCATTTTAGTGATTGAATCAAAACATGTTAAACTTATTTTGTTTATTATTTTTAATGCAAATAGGTAAACAGCTTGTATGGAACGATGAGTTTGATACTCATCACCTTAATACTAAAAAGTGGATGATAGGCAATAGAAATGATTGCAATAGTAAGCAAATTGTTTTTGAAAAATATTTATTTTATTTGAATGCTATTTGATTTCTCTCTCTCTCTCTCTAAACAAAATATGTATTTTTATGAAAATAATATAAACCCCGAAGTGTTACCAATATATTGTAAATTACATAATAATGTGTTTATAAAAGTTAAACAATTTTCTCAATTTATATAAAAACTTTTTTCANTCTCTCTCTCTCTCTCTCTCACTCTCCCACTCTCTCTCTCTCTCTCTCTCTCATTATTATCAACCATTCAATAGAGTATAACGAGAATAACATGGCGTGCGTTATATCCCCCGACAATATCCAACTCGCGAACCAAACCCTAGCCTTAACTGTTAGGCCCGAGAATCACACGAAACACGACATACCCGACGATAAGCCCCTGTTCTCACGGCCCAAGCTATTAGTGAGCTTTAATTGGCGTGCGGCCAGCTATTTAGCTATAAGGGCGGCATTGCCACAGGGTCAACTACTATACCCATTCGTACACGTGAGCACCAGGGTGTACAACACGACTGTTGACATTTCCATAATCAATCCCTTAGGATACTATGCCAACCTGTATATGGGACAGACTATAAAACAGCAAATGCTCAACGAGGACCTAGCTCAATTTCATACGTATACCATCGAGTGGAACGATACTCATTATGAATGGAGTTTTGACTATAAATACTCTTATACTGCACCATATAATCCGCTTAATAAGCCGTTTCTTGGACCCCGAGCGGAATTGATAACCGAGGTGAAAATTGACATAAATAAAGGCGAAACGTTTGCCTCAAATGATTACCTGAAGTGGAAGTGTTCGGCACTTATCATAGATTATGTTCGCCTCTATCGATGGGCTGATGATAATACAGACCTTTCATATGATACACTACATGACAGCACTGCCATCGCCCCTGAGATTTGTAAGACTATTATGTATGGTATCGTTGGAAAGGAGCACATGTCTGATACCGCAACGGATATACCTGGATATAATACTAATGAAGAAAATCCGAGTACAAACACAATTAGTCCTATGGTATTAATATTAGTGGTGATAATCAGTTTGTTTTTGGGGTTGACATTAGTATCCGCATTAATATTCATGTATTGCAAGCAAAAGAGACTGAAACGGATGAACCGAGAGATGGTGTCCGATGTTTACGACGACAACCGTATGGATGACTACGAAGAGTGCGACTATAATATTGATCACAAATACGAAGATCCATACGATACGATTGGCAATACAAATAGTGTGGACCCTAATAGCGTCCCAATTTATCTGGAAATATAACTAATACTTATAACTAATACAATTCGTATCTAATGATATTTGTGCTCGTTACAATTTATATAAATAAAAAGTATTAGTTTTACATTGTATCTGTTGTTTATCGAAAATATTAATAAAGTAGTACTTAATTTAAATTTGTTCAATGGGATCGTCGACTATTAGAAATCATTAATTATAATTTATTAGTTTTTAATTTATTAGATTTTACACTAAAACATTTAACAACTTTAACTCTTTTGTTTTGAATGTTAGATAACTTTAAATTTTTAATTCTTTTTTTTAAATATTGTAATTTATATAAGTATTAGACCCCTCACTGAAAATTAGGTTGCGTTTGATGACCAGGGTCTCTAAATATTAATAAATTCAATTCAATTTAAATATATTTTACATAATTTAAATTATATCATAAATTATATCTATAATCGCAACTCAACTCGCAAAATATATGAAGACTTAAACTGAATTTATTTGTGAATATTTGCGAACAAATGCGTGACTCGAGTGATGCGGACATTTCTGTCAACCGATTGATACAACACTGCGAACATAGTATTGACCGAAATATTGAAAACAAATATTTAATAATAATTTTTAAAAATTATTATTATTAAAAATAAAGAATAATAAATAAAAAAAAATGAATATTGTATTAAATTACTTATTAATAAACTACAGTAAAGGAATCCCTTTGTAGTTCTCACATGCCGTACCATTCCGTATATACAGTAATTTGGTGCACAATAACATTGGTGATCTACGCAAACTTGATTAACCCTCTGACATTTTTGTTGAAGGTTACATTCATAAATAGCAAATAAACTTGGTGTAAATATAATTACGAAATATTCTATAAAACGGTTCATATGGTAAAACTATTTGTTTATTTAATTAACATAAACTGCAAAGTATCATACTGAATTTTCTAAATATTAATTTGTTTATTAAAATGTAGGATAATATCCTAAAAACTCTCACTTAAACACATGATGTGTATCGTAACGAAGGCCTATGAGTTGCTACCTTTGGCTATTCTCTGGCCGAGTCATCATTACCTGTGCCTCACGTACAGTACTCTAGAACTTTCCAATAGAGTCGTACTGTACTCACAGATACTGACCATTAACTCATTACACTATAATATTAATTTGAAGGCTCACTTTTCAATAGATGCATCAAATATAACGTTATGATTTTAATGGGGAATGTTTTAATTTAAGGAAACAAATGCTAAGATAATACAATTAACTACTACTCTGTATACAGTAGTAGTAATGCATTGTTGGTTGTGTACAGTACTGTCGTATAATAGGTTACGTTATGATTGTATTCGCAGTGCTTTGCTATTACAGTACAGTAATAGAGAATTGCCTTACATGTAATGCATACTCTATTAATGTGAACATTAATAAATAAACTATTATTTTTATTTAAATCTAATTAAATTATAAATAAAATTTCCGTGAATGATCTTTCTATTTACATATACACCGGTGTGCGCTCAAGATACTCAGCAATAAAAGAGTATATTTTCAAAACTCTCGAACATTTCAATACTAAAATTATCAATACTATGTGTTTGTTTAATAATTTTGTCAAACATTAAAAGTCTTATCTCCTATGAATGCTTGAGCAAAAAAAGGATTAAGTCAATATAACTTTAAAATCAAAAACCTAATCAATTAAACCCTTACCTTTGCCAAAGGATTGTATCAGATAAACATTTTACTCATTGACAAAAATATTAAATTAAAATCTTTTCTAATGATTTTTGTTTGCTGATTTTCTTAAATTATTGATAGATAAGTGATAACGATAACGATAATGATAATTTCTTATTTGTGATAACGATATATAGAAATGTTCGAGAGTTTTGAAAATATACTCTTATTGCTGAGTATCTTGTACGCACACGGTGTATTGTAGGGATAATTCACTAGTATAATACTATTTAAGGTATGGCTTCTCTATGCCATACAATTAGTCTATACCAAAGACGTCCAAAATTTTTAAAATCACTAAATTAGTGTTTTATAATATTAGTAAACTTATTAACTATTTACAACACTAGTATTTAATGATTAAAAGAGACTAAGATATTTTGCTGGAAACATAATTTTCATATTGATTAATAGTATGAATATTTATTAGACATGAAAATAATCAAATGATTAATTAATATATTAAGGGAAATTTTAAACATAAAATAAAAATATTTGAGTAAATTTCAAATATTTATTAATCACTTTGTTTGGAATTATAGTAAAAACATTGACAAATAATTTAACCTCAAGTTATACATTACTATGAGTAATAAAATAAATATCATT